TTACACATACAATAAAAAATTATTTTCTCATACATGAAGATTGCTTGCAACTAAACGATTAGTCTGCCTGAATGCCTGAATGCTTAATGACATCAAGCGGTACCGGCTACGGGTTGTGTTGCCAGCGATTACGTTCTTTCTCACAGTTTGATTTCCATTGAGCTTCATATGTGATTTCAAGTCCAGCGAGAGGGTATTCCTCAGACTCATGTGTATCCATGTTTACGTCTGTCGCATCAATATCCCAGACCCTTCAAGGTTTGGACGATGACGTCGGTACGGAGGCAGGGCGCTTCCAGTATCAGTTTACGGCAGATGCGGAGCCTGTGCAGACTTTTGAACTAACGGTGAGTGAGGTAAACGTATTTCTTTAGATGCTGCGGACAGATGCAATCGCCAAGCAGTCCATATGAAGAATACACATGTTATTTGCTTTCAAATTTGTTAGACAGAAATCGCCAGCGTACATTTGCCTGATCAATGCATCTCTGGTCGCGTTCTCGTGCGATCTTTTGCGTTCGATAATTACTAAATTGGCATATCTCGGGTCTTTCCAGGATACCAATGCCACCCAATTAATCAAGGTCCATGTTACCAGCAACTGGGGCTATCCCGAATACACGACACTCTACCGAGTGAGGGTGCACGGCAGGTATGTACCTATATCTGCTGCGCGCTCGTTGCCAGCGAAGTGCTAATTCTGCCTTCGACGGACTGACCGTAGTTCAGCGAGTGTGCAGTACGCCATATGTGGCTCTTAATTATGACGCGTATAGTTTCTCACTATATATACAAAATGAACAATGCCCTGCATCGTGTTAGCAATCGAGCTGTTGGCGATGGTGGCGCTATATCGATGGTTGATATTTTCACACTACATTAACCAGTACCCACTCTCTTACACGCAGCCCCGCGGAACTACCGGTGATCACGAACGAGACGCCTACTACTACAGAATGGCTATACAGCGCAGTCGGAAGCCTTACACAGCGATACTTAGGCCAAGGGCAGTAGACCGCGAGAACACGGACCAATACCGTAGTATCAAATAAGAGATCTCACACGCACACTGTGGACTTGTAGTGATTTGCGTAGCGCTCTTAAGCTCGGCGAGACCACAGAGAGCATACCATGACTTAATAATGTCGGACTTGCACGATCAGTCCGTATCAGTATCTTAAAATAAAAAATAAATGTGCTTGCATGACCACAGAGCACAGTCTCCAACTGGAGATAAACGATTCGCGATCAAAATGAGGCGTCCGTTTGGACGGCTTCTCGAAGAGGCTCATATATTTTTATTTTCGAAACGAGCGGACCTATTTTAAGTCTAGAAATGGGAATGAGACTCTGGTTTCGAACAGCTAGCAATTCTCCCGGATGAAAGATTTCATGTTACTGTGTCTGACTCAGACTGGACTCAGGCGTGTGCAGCGTGTGATATCTTCTACAGAGTAGATGACCTCTCTTCAGCTGATGCTTAGGTCTACCACCAAATGATACCGTCGAGCTGCGAATGCTAGACATATGTCTTTCCACTTCAGACAATCCGAGTTTGTGAGAGCAGCTCACCTGGAACTCGGGAGGGCAGAAGAACTTAAAACATTTTTTGAAATCGAATTCGTCTTTTTTCATATACGACAGTTGTATGTGCAGATTTGCCGATCTAGATTTGCCACGCCCAATTTGTAAACACGAATGAGTAAAATAGAGAGGGGTTCCGAAGATTTAGGGTTTAGGGTTTAATATACTTTGCTCTCTAGAGGACTGCTCAAATCGGAATTGTTTCAGCAATGTATGAGGTATGATAAAATCAGCGGAATCGAACACATGACCAACTAATATGCACACAATGGATGATTGTTTAATATCATAGACAATATCAGGAGTAATATTTTTACGTCACACTAACGACAATGATTCTGCAGGCCTGACCTCCACACACAGCACCCTGGGCATACCATTTTGGGGTGTACACGTTTGCATTGTGACTAGTTCTGTAGCTGTACCAAAAACAAGGAGATTAGCAGAGAAGGTTTAGGAATAATCGGTCGCCACACCAGACATCGAAAAGATTCAAGCATTGACCGGAGCATTACAGTCTAAAACTATCCGCTTTTGAGCAATAACACCGCGACAGATTGAACGATTAGGCACCCTTTGCTAGATAGTATCATTTCGTCGTACTGTGATACCTCGAAACCCTCAGTACAATCGATAAAATGTTTCAATAAATTGAAGGGAAGTCTGGCTTCCTTCAGAGCAGGATATTTCATAACCTGCGCGAGCTATGCGCTGGCTGTCTTCACGTCTAACAGGCATTAATTGCTGTGTCCGAATGTTGCTTCAATTGTCTACATCAGATCACTAGTTTGAGTATCATTTATCAAATAGTCTACATCAGATCACTAGTTTGAGTATCATTTGCCAAGAATTTGCGTGACTACTATTGCGCAAGGTTTACTGGCATCTTAATATAGTAATCTCGTTTAAACTTAAGTTTTCTTGTGCATGCGATCTTATCAGCTTTCGTTGCAAGCTTCGAGGTTATAAGTTGTACAGCTCCTTGAACTTCGGTTTAAGAGTGTATGTCTTTGTCTGTCCAGTCTCATTCTTTTTCGTGACCTGTGTGATGTTGGATAAAAGAAGTGTCAAGTTTAAATTCGCATATGCAATCCACCAAAACCTAAACAATAGCATTCACATATTTGTTTCAATTCTGCGGAGTGACAATAGAATAGAGGCAAGTAAATGATCGCGACTAGGCCAACGTTAACCACAAAGTTAAACGTAGTTCGTTGGCGATACTCCCAACACACCAACAGGGCCTGTAGTCGGCCACTGTACGCCCCAAGGTATACACATCACGAAAAACTCGTCGCAAGCATTGTGCTGAGACAGCAAACTTCAGATATCACGGTGCGAATACCAGCAAAGCTCGCCGCTGCCCGTAGTCGTGCATAGGCAGCTGAGCGTAACCGAGTAGTCTTTACATATCTGATATATCCGTTTTTGAACATCTACAATACCATTCCAAAAAACACGAGGGCAAGTTAAGCACGCGATATTAGTACCTTGTTCATAATGTCGATAAATCTTTGCTTCTCTGCCTTGTCCCTGCCGATTGTACCTAACAAGTGCAATGGTGAAATTGTGAGAACAATACGCAGTCATATCACATCTAAGACACAGTTCAGCTTCATAGTATTAATTAGAAATTAAACTCTGAATGGGCTCGTACACCTGTATATAGAGATAGACATCTGCGCGTGTAGCCACGATGGCACAGATACTCAATAAAGTGTGCTTGCAAACATTACACTTACGTTTAATCTTCTTGTCCTTCGCTAGGATATCTTTGATACTGGCGTTCTCCATGGACATAATCAGCTTGCATACTTCCTCCTCCGTGAAGGGGGAGATTGACTCTGGTTTTAGCTGCACAATGCGAGTAGAATCGGAAGTTATTGCTATAAAAAAAAAAGCGTATGTATGCAATATAGTGTCCAGCCCTATAGCAATGACATAACTATTATCTCACTGAATGACTATGAACCAATACATCGATCGATAGACTAGGCAATGCACAGTAATTATTTTTGGTGTTAACTATACAAGAGAAAGTGATCAGCGCGACGTGTATACTCATGATCGCAAGATCACGAGGGACTCTTCCAAATCAAGTCATACTGTACATTCATGCAGCAAACAACACAGGCGATACTTTCCTTTGCGTGTGCGTACGTGCTATATTAATACATATACGGATACTCACTCTTTTCATGGGAATATTCTTTGCTGAGTCATCTATTTCTTCTCTGGGTCGTTTCTGGGCCTTCGGGGCAGCCTCCTGAGTTAGAAATGGCCAAATATAAATCATACGACTTTTGGAACCAGTCTCTAAATGTACTGGACATCTCACAGTGGTCTCAACCTGACGAGTTGAAATAACCCAGCTACAGCGTAGTTTGAAACGGTAGAGTGTCTGCTGCTGAATACTGGCACATGCCACATTCAACCATGAATATTCAATGCTCGTGAATCATCATTGAAAACATTACCGAAATCTGAAAGGTGTAAAATTTCCAAAAATAAACACCTTAACCACACATGCACAACATAACAAACGCCAACAACAATTTTAGTTGGAACCAATATATGCACTATAAAATGCACCCATATATATATATATATACATATATACACACACACATATACGTATACATATATAGATATATACATACACATACACATACACATACACCCACACCCACCCACACACACACATATATATATATATATATACATATAATATATATATATATATATATATACACATACATACATACATACATACATACATACATACATACATACATACATACATACATGCATACATACATACATACATACATGGATACATACATACACATATATACACTATGCCCCACTGAATTTCGCAACCACACCCTTTTGACTCTCGGCGCGGCCGGTGCTTTCCTAACTTGGGGTTGAGGTTGGGTTTGAGGCGGGGGTTTGCTTGTGGTCGGTTTAATTACCACACCCAGCTCATCATCCTAAGGCACGCCATACGGGGGGGGGGGGGGTATTGTAAGTATATGGGGGGGCAGATATTATAAGTAATGCTTGCGCTGTTGGAGGTTTAGGGCGGCTATGTAATCCAACTGTCTTGCCTAGTGACAACCGTTAGGAATCGACTTTTATTGTTGATGTCTGCGATCTATCAAAACGCACTTTATGCGCTGGAAGGTATATAAATGTGTGATTGTTGGCGCAAAAGCTGTCTATAAAGCTGACCTGAACAACATGTGCTGCATATACCACGTAATGACTCAAATTGAGCGTCCCTTCTCATACCACCACCTTGTAAGCAGGCAGTGTGCTTTCTATCCACTACAACATCACACAACCACCACATCAACATGGGCAAGGTCCAGCAACGCAACCAAACCAAAACAAACACCAAAGTTTCCCACACCCACCGAATCATCCGCATTGTCATCTGCGTTGGTGGCAGGCAAGTCCGCGTCATCCACCCCGTCTTTAAGTTTCTTCCTCAGTTCTTTGCCCGTCTTTGTGAGCTCGTCCTCGGCGGGTTCGCCGTCTTCGTCGTCCGAGTCGCTCTCGGGCGGTGCTTCGTACTCTTCGGTTTCTTCGAGTGCCTAGCATTCATGAACGCAAGTTGGGCAATAAATATGCTGATGAGACCATTGTCTTGAATTCTCTCGGATTCTCTCGGGTCTCTCGGGAATTCTCTCGGGAGGATCCGGCGAGAACATAAGTCCACACATTGCGCAGGAGCAGGAATTATCGGCATTTCAATCTTAAAACTGAAGGGAGACGTGAGCTCGCAGCTTATTTGTGAAGAAAAATTAACATCACAATGAATTAGATCAGGAAAGGCAACCAAATCTATTTATCGCAAACAGATAGGATCAATTTGGAATTGTAAGTTGTTGTTGAATGTACCTCCTGTGTTACGGCTCCCGCTTCGTCGTCCGTGAATTCCGCCTCGTACTCCATATCTTCCCTCTCGACTTTACGCTTACCTGAAAATGTGAAGGACGATTAAAAACTGGCATGCCGCTACATACTGAAATCAGCAGCCTTCACAAGCACAAAAATCAGAACAGCAGCCTTCACACGCACGAAACAACGATCAGAAAGTGTTGACCAATGGATGCATGTCATTTCTGACCCAGCATATGCCCAGCACACAATGCCCTTTCACGCTCACTATAGAAGAGAAGACCCTCAACAGCGTATGTGCACATATCCTCACTCTAAATACTCGGCATACGTCTGAACCTGTCCCCGTGTAGGCCATGTGTACAACGTGTTTGCAACACGTGGCTGACAGCAGCACAAGGCAACTATACCGATGACACTCGAGTAACCTACCCGCGGCCTTCTTCGCCATCTTCTTATCATGCTTGGTCACAATATCTAGCGGGTCGTTGATGGCATCCTCCTCTTCCGAGTCACTCTGTGCACCGGTTTGCCCACTCATGGCCGTCGAGAGCGCGGCCTTCTGTTCTTCCTGTTTTTCTTCGCGAGCCTTCAGTCTAGTTTGCACCCACCGGTCACCACTTTTCTTTTTCTTCATCTGCGGGTGTACGGTTTGAGGATGTACGTAGATACCAATACGCAAACTTAGTATACGCACACCGTCGTCTGACAGTTTAAGATTTTAAAGGATGGCAGTCAGGTTGAAGTCACCAATCACTAATATACATTATATCCATCCACGGATGTAATGCATGTGCAGACCTTGATATATCGGTTTTACTTAGAAAATCTTCTTTTACTTCAACTACGAGTAGAACTTCAGTGTGATACACGGGAACAAGTATACACAAGCCTAGAAGCATAAGCACTTCTGTGTCTATAAAGAACTTGCAAAAGAAACGAACTTGATACGAGGGCACTTCCTCAGGCTTCCTGACAGAATGCAACTATAATAGTCATCGCGAGCTGCAAAAGGGTTTAACCATGAATACTTGCGACCGCTGTGTACATGTCTGAGATGTATGTATGTATATGCACTGACTACCGAAGGCGATTTTTCATTTCTGTTCCATCCTTAAATGTTATGTACAACTACGGCTGAGAATGGAGTATGCGTACTGTCTTGTCTGTTCCTGGAGGCAATATTCGTATTTACGGACTGACTCATTGAAGCTGTACTAAGGTACTAGGCGGCTCATCGTATGCAACATACACTTTTGCACCACAGTCACTGCACCAATTACATTGCAGCGCATTCTGTGGTGATGAGTTTTCCGATCGCCACTACAGGTTTCATACACAATATAGCCATAGGCAGAATCCTCTACATCTGGCACCAAGCAGACGATTGCAACAGTATACAACGAGACATGCGATCGACAATCCAGTGAGTCGGTAAGCATGTGAAGATATCTTTGCTTTAAAAAAAAAGGGTTTCAAAAAAAATTCATTCAAGAACACGTCTACCAGCTGTGTATCCACACAATAAATAGAACCCACCTCGGCTTCTACTTCCTCCAGTGACATCGTTTCGTACTTGACCTCCTGTGTGAACTTGTACCAGTTGTCCGTCGGAATGACCTCGAAATTGCCTTTGCCATCCTGAAAATATAGAGACATACAATTGCATCAGAGCCAAAAAACAAAGCAATCACGATGCACCAATGCGACGACGCGAGCAGTAGCATACTGTTTTGTGCCCACCAAGAGCAACACACGAGCAGGTCTGTGATTGTATGATTTTGGGGTTCATCCTACTTGTGCATTGCTCACATGCAGCACACGAGCAGGTCTGTGATTGTATGATTTTGGGGTTCATCCTACTTGTGCATTGCCCACATACAACACACCAGCAGGTCTGTGATTGTATGATTTTGGGGTTCATCCTACTTGTGCATTGCTCACATGCAACACACGAGCAGGTCTCTGATTGTATGATTTTGGGGTTCATCCTACTTGTGCAATACTCACATGTGGTACGCAATCGAACGTGCAACAGCTCGGAGGATGCGGTGCAAGGGGATCCGCCAACTACGTATTCGGCAATACAGTTGCCTATCAAACGATCCTGATCCGTAGAATGGCTGGAAGTTACACACATCAGTGCCTCGAAAGATACGGCAGCTAAAACAAACATGCTCAGGATCGCACTATTCCATCAGAGCAAAAGGGAACTTCTTGGCTCGTACGCCTAACACGCTACGCTATTGCTACTCTCAACACTTGCCAATATACGAAATACGTCAAGACTAGTCATAACTTACATTGACAAACAGCATATAGTGTTGTTCAAGTTTCTCGCGGTGTCCATTAAATCGTGTTGTTTCGCTCTTCTGCTCCAGATCCATTTCCCACAACATTTCGCGTTCGCCTCTCGGCCGCCATCGACGTTTGACCTTACCCACTTTATTGCTACTCTTGTATACACTCCCAGCTCCTGCACAATTGTACAGAGAATGAGAATCATACGACGACTTCGGAAGAACCCAACAACTGTAAGCCATACGACTTTGTGACTCGTGCGGAGATGTGACGTATACGTGGATACGAACTGCACAACAATGAGAATCACAATAGCCTGTGAATATATGTGATAACGTGATCACAAGTACATGTATTGCGGCCTGCGGGAGGGCAACGTCGGTTTTGCAGAAGGCACAAATATTAAGCAAACAGCCGTGGATACAATTTGGATGGAATGAATAGTAGCATCCATTGATGTATAGCCCCGGATCGTCTAGACCGTGGACCTGATGTGCACCTCAATCGAGTTTAAATTACGTGCGGGGTATGAATACAAATGGCTCCAGAATACGCACCCATCCACTCATGACAAACAATCTTCAACATTAACAAAATACGCCGAGAACAACATGGCTATTTGTATTTACGGGCTCAGGACTATACTTTGTATGTAAGAACAAATTGCTTAGCTACAACGCTGCTGCCGGGATACGTCTTTGCACGTGCGAACTATAAGTATACGCGGACAAGGCCGATTAAGTGACGAAATGAAACATAGATAGTATAATACACACCTTTCTCTGGGACGACTTCTACCTCGCGAACTCTCTTGACATAGTTGGGATCGACCACTCGCCTCATTTGCAAATCGCTGATCTATATAAACGATATGGCACAACGAAAGCGAAATATGCGAATGAGTGGGTGGACACGAACATTTGACGATGCGCCACTTAATCTTAATCTACTTTGCGTACTTGGCCCTTTTGTACTTGACCACAGTTTGTATAAGCACTTAGAGCAATACGTACAAACTACAATGCATTGCCTAGTTCTTTACGTGGCTTCACCCACGGAACGTCTGATAGAGGTGTTCACTCCGGTGAAGCATAAGAGTGTGTGAGGCACCCATGTCACTCGCCCAACAACAGCGGCATGCCAGTGATGAAGGCAAGGATATTATAATTGGAAAGCATAAAGCATATGTTAAATAGAATGGGATTATAGCACACGATCGTGGACGTAGTGGCAATGAGCACGGTTATGCCTATTTCACGTTCACGCAGCAGCTCAGAAGTCAGAACTTGCAAATGATTCGATCTGCAACATTCGCCATGCGTATCCGCAACGGATCTGTATAACAGCCTCAACAAATGGGCAAACGCATGCCACACCGCCACCCCAGATTTACACAACAATTCACCGCCAGCATAGAGTACATACATCATCGACAGGAATCTCTCTGCCTTGAAATTTAATAATATGCGTTGCATCCGTATCGTGCCCGATGCTGCCTCTGATGACATTATACTCTGTACACGGCCCCAAGTCTTCCTCTTCCTCTTCGTTGTTCAGCACACGAGCTTGCGAAGTCCCGTCAGGCTTTCTTCCTTCTCCCGGAGCGGATCGTACAAAATCAACTGCAGCTTCGTACAACAGTATTTCAAGAGAAACCTTCCATGCCTAGCGCTTGATACGTAAAACTTAATATCATATGCACACACACACATATATATATATATATATATACATATATATATATACATGTATATATATTTATGTACATATAAATATATATATATATAATAAACAAAATAACAGACACATAAACATACGACAGAAACAGACAGACACAGACACAGACACAGACACTGATATATTAATATATATTTATATATATATATATATAGAACTATCTACCGTTCAAGCAATACAATATCATATTTATGATATGTTATGTACGATAAAATTTCACTTTGTACAAAGACTTTATGTACACATTTTACATAGGTTGCATTCCAGTCACTCCACCCACTCACCTTTCTTGTTGGGATTGGGGGGTGGTTTGTAGTTGGGATTGAACGTTGTGTTTAGTAGTTTCGTGGGCACTTGCGTGTGTCGACTGGGCCGTCCAGGGCCACCGCCTCGACCACCCCTTCCACGTCCCACTTTCGGCGTAAACATGCTGTGATTGCGCGATTTGGATGTTTAGCGCCGTCTGATATGGACTTTATATATGTGCGTGTAAGAGTGTGTATATGTTCCTGCGCTAACCTGGGTATACTATCCTTACTTGCGTTGATAGTGTAGGAATTGCGTGTATTGTATATACTGTTGGGAGGCTTCTGGATGTGTAATTAGTTTGTATGTCAGGTGTGTATTGTGTGTGCAGCTGAGGTAGTCAAGTGTACTATACTGAGGTGCCGTGCGCTGGCCCACAATCACACAACAGCTGATATGTATACCTATAGCCTACTCCACTTGTTGGAAGTGGAATATGTGGTGACTGGTGCGACCCTTATCGATGGCGGTCTATTTGACTATGATTGATGCGGTTTATTTGAATCTATGCGACAGTATTTTATAAATACATATAATTTTTTTTTTACACACTTTTCTTTAAAAACACACAAAAAAAGTATTTTCTTTTTTAGTTTTTTTTATACAAAAATACACATTGTACTTTCTAAAATCGATTTGTTTTGAATCTTCTGGAAAACAGTTCGGTATGTTGAAAAAGTGATGACCACGAGCACAGGTTACCATATAAGTACACAGGAACACTCCCAAGTCCCAACAAGTGCTGAAAGTTAAAAAAAAAGCATTGTTGTAAAAGTGCAATCAACACAACTTAATTATATATTTAGTCCGAGGCTAAACCGAACTCTGTTTGAACACGGTCATCCCAGTCCCATTCTAGGAGTCTGACAAATTGCCAACAATCAACAATGATCAGCACATTGGCCAAGGGGGTAGTTTTCTCCGTCGCTACATTACATGTCTACATCCTCGCGCTCGAGATGTTTATGTGGGACCAGCCCCGAGCTATGAAGGCCTTTGGCGTTCGGAAAACGCCCGAGAACATCGAGTTCCAGCGGAAGACATACACTATGGCCAAAAACCAAGGGTTATACAATGGGTTTCTCGCCGCGGGTTTATACCGGGGGTTGTATCTAGGCGACACAGATACCGGCACTGACTACAAGTTCTTCTTCCTGTCGTGTGTGGCGGTGGCGGGGGTCTACGGCGCTGCGACCGTGTTCCCCAAGATACTTATGGTGCAAACTGTGCCGGCGCTTACTGGTATTGCCTTGCTGTATTTTTCTTTGTAGACTGATTGGGTACAGTTATTATTTTGTGCTTGTAAGTCTGTATGTATATATATATATATATATATAAGTTTATTCCTATATAAATATAAGCACCAGCAATCACTCACTGGAACGGCGTTCCGTTCCGGTCCGGAAGTATATGCCTAATTATGCGCATTTTTTACTGGACTCCGAGATATAAGTAGCTGTTATGCAAATTGTATCGGCAGTCACTGATAGTTGATTTTTCCTAGATATCACAGAATAAGAATACGCCATAAGGTCCGTGTATTTTCAGTATAGTGTCACTAAGCAGGAGTATGGTGTGACAGATTGAACGTCTTCGGAGCTGTCGACGTTGACCACGAGTTGTGTTTTGGAGTACGTTGCAATGATGACAGGGTGCATTTAATCGACTACTCTAATTGACTTTGTGAAGGTATCCGCATTTATTTGATGAATCTCTAAAGTGATATCGTCACAAAAAAAAAAAGAAAACTGCCTAAAATTACGTATGTATAGGAATGCGGTGGAAATAGGATGGGGACCTATACTATGGATCAACGGCAGGCGTTGTTAGTGCGGTGTGTGGCGGAAGACTGCAAAACATTCTTCATAAGAGAAAACGGAGCTTATAGAGAGTGTACAGTCTTCTCAACGGGGAGCTTCGGATGTTGTATCGCAATAGAAAACATATATATCGACTCAAAGGGAAGTTTCTTGCACACTTATCATAGAGTAGTTCATCCGCAGAATGAAATATACTGGCACCGTATATCCACAGACTTTGGCATAGCGATTGCAGAGCGAAGAATACAGTCGTATTACGTCCTGTGTGTACTCGAATTAAGTTCGAATCTATTTTAGTTCGGTGGCTCAACTGGCAATTTTTGAAGCAACGCTAGTAGGTACATCCTCCTCCTCGAGAAACGAACTATTGTGGACAGAAAGAAACGAATACCCGTATACCGCGCGATACAAATATAGTTGGATTCGGATCTAATCTAACTCGATTGCCCGGGTGGCAATTCCTGCATGCATAGACTAGTGAGTGCATCAACCGACTCGAGCGAAAGGCGATTGTGCCGTTGTCCACAGACACGCTCGTTTGTACTAATTTATTTCGGTTCGAATTTAAGTCGGCGTCTCAGGTGGTATTTCTTGCATGCATATGCTAGTGGGTACGTCATCCTCCTCCACAGAAGTACCGTGGCGCCATACATGCACGGACCTAGGCATGACGGTGGCGGGGACTGGCGGATACTCTGAGCGAATCCACTTAACCTTACCGTCCGCTTGAACAACCCTTTTTTTCCTGGGTCTCACAAAACTGTAAATTGGAAAGAACAATGTTTAGAAATGTACGAGAAAGTACAGAATAAAGAGGTACTCCTCAGTGTAGGAGTTCGATAAACAGTTGAAAAAAATACAATTGCAATGGACTATAGCAACGTTTAATTGATATAGTTCTTCGTACTTGCATTCCGTCTCCAATTGAACCCGACAATATTCTATGACTAACGGCAGGATATACAACTACAATAGCAACATAACGTGAGAGATACAAAATGGCGATGTCATATACCTGGGTTGTCGCGGTCCACATAGTATGTAGACGAGATTGCCGCAAGCACCACGATCATACGGACTCCTCTTATCGTACTTTCCGTTGATCTGTGGTTAACAGGTTCTTGATTTGAGTTTAAAATCTTTAAAGAATATAAAATGGAAGCTGAATACTCATCTCACGTTACATTGATGTATGTACACATGCTTCGTGCGAGTTTGAGACTGGAATATGAAAGTATGTGTACAATATATACCTGCATACATGCTTTATGTTGGAGACTGGAATATAAAAGTATATATAGTTTTTCCCCTCTATGGACATTATCTCCCGTACCAAAAGAGACATGCAAGTTGAATAGATTCGAAAAGACCAGCCTACCTGACAGAGTAAGATATTGCTTCAAAAGTGCAACAGGGTAAAAGGGTCTCCATAAACAGAAAGCGTGATGAAGCAGCCCACTTAAAGTAACGACTATACCGTCAAGCGCACTAGCACGGATATTTGCCAAATGACAGTGACAGCGAGTGCGCTGAGGGCAGTCACGAATTAGGCCATGCGCGAACCTTATACCCATATCCATATGAAAAATCATTCGATATCCATATGAAGAATCATTCGCACTTTGCGATTTCAATTGCGACCCCAAACAGAGATTTACTGTTCCGTTTTGGACATACCATTTCGTTCGTGGTCAAGCCTCGGTATAGGAGTGTGATGTGGAGACAAGCTAGCCCCCCTACTGGGATCATAAGGACAGCTATGTAGAAAATAATTGTCCATTCGGCCCAGTTCTCGCTGAAGAGATCATGCACGCCAGGTTCGCCGGCCGAGGAATATCTACAAGTTTGATCACAAACTAAAGGTTACTGTTTGAATAACATTTGCATGTATGTGTACATCATCTTCAAGAACGTGATTATCATATATACATGTGTAGACATGGACTGATCGATCTCTGATTGGAAAGAGTATCAGATGGTTGAAGCGAGAGAGCAGATAGATAACTGCATGTCCTAAAATAACACTATTAGGTTATTGGTGTTAAGCTATAGGGGCACCTTTAATCTGAAATATACCCTCACCACATTTCACAAATGACATAACTTCACACGTTCCGGTACGCGTTATCAAACTTGAAGAAGTGCTTCTGAAAATGTTCCGGATTTTCTAGGGACATTGTAAGTACCGCAGATCAAGCCTGCCCCAAGTACACAAGCGTCTAGTTCATTGTCTAGTTCAAACAGTAGTTATTCATTGCAACATATATACCCCATCTCAAGGGTTTCAAGATATGCTTACTTGTCGTTTATCTTCACCGCACACAGAGCAGCGATATAGAAAGCGTATACCACGGATAGAAAGAGCCATGTAACGAAGACCCCGTAGTTGCGTTTGGCTATGCAATTGCCCACCCAGGGGCAGTGGTGGTCAAAATTCTGGGCGCAAAGGATATGCGGCGAAGCAGATAAGTTGATCACCAAACAGAGGAAGCCTTGCGTGATACGAACATCCGGTGTGGGTAGGCAGTTCGAGCAACAACCGAAGCACAAATGGTGCCCGACAAAATCAACATGACGTGAACAGTGGGATACATGATGAGAGTGGCAGGGGCCATATCACTGGTGACTACAACAAGGCGAACATTCTATACGTGGGTTAGTTGGCATCTCAGGATATGTGACAATGTACAAAGACTCATGTATATAGGTAGAGATCTCGGATGGTGTGCATTAAACAAGCAACATTCAGCAAGTGCGGTTTACATAAATATCAGAGGGCCAGTGATATATACTTACCTCAACACAGTTGTCGCAAACTGAACAGTGTACTGCTCGAGGCGGCCGATAGAAATTGCAAGTATTACACCATTTGCACTGGACTGTCTGAGAGCCTATTTGCAGCGCTCGATATAGAGGGGCCATATCATCCGAATCATCCTCCCGTTCTATGAAACATAGTATTATTTTGCAAGGCGAACGGTGGGTTTATTTTAGATGAACCGCGCGTTGGGTAGCACCAAAACAACATTTTTTTTTTGGAAAAAACAAAATAATTTACTGTTCGAACGATGCTGAATGACAGCCCCACAAGATCATGGACGCACCAGGTTGCCCTGCAATGGCAATGCACCAATATGTACCAACGGTACTGTCCAGTGCGTTGTACTCAACGTAAACATAAATGAAATAACCAAAGTGTGGCGAATCTGTACATACACAAATATAGAAACTACAGCTGAGATCGGTACGTATCATACACGGATCTTATATATTGAACTCGAAGGAGACAGTTTTGCATTAAAATCACCGCCCGGATCAACCTTGCACCACACATCTTTCAATTTGACAGCACACATATAGACTCGTCGCGCATACGAAGAACGAATATGTGATGGTACCTCGAGGGATGTATCCCGGATCGGTCATGGATGCCTTAAACAGAGTTGCAAAGTCGTAGATTACCAGGACGGCCGCGATAACAGGAAAAGCAGGGCTCACACGATGCCACAGATAGGAGGCACTGTACAGACGTGTTGGCATCAAGGATCACTCGAATGTGACACAATATTTCCAAAATTCTACGAATGCCCGTCGCGTACTTGGCGGTTTTATCCATAGAGACATTGCTTGTAACGTGTATGTGAGTTTGGTTTGTAGTACACTGATACCTGCTGAGACGAGAAAATGCGCTTTCCCAACAAAAAAAATAAGTCGGTTAAAGAATATAAAGTGCATATATAGACTCGACATCTGGCAAGAAGTGTTCTGGTACTAGCCCGCTGGAAGAATTAAATCTGGATTGCTACCAACAGATTTGACAAGATCTTGTGAAATAGTCATTAAAAACAACAAGCAATTTAGAATCGCATCGCCGCGTGCAATATATTATATATATATATATATATATATATATATATGTAGATATACATACATGTACTTATATATATATATATATATATATATATAATATATATATATAGTTATTACTATATATATATATA